CGCAGATCTCCCCAATCCCCAAATCTCTAATCACCAAAAGGTTGGCAACGCACTTGTATACCCCTTTGGTGTTGCGAGTGTATAATGTTCATGCTTACCATCAGGTGATCCAACCGCTCGTTTTGGCGGCCTATCTCATAAAAACAAAAATAGAAAGAGTTAACTAAAAATCGCGAGTTACTCACGTGAATATACTGAGAAAAGCTCTATCAGTTTCGAGCCATAGAGGGACTCTTCCTCATTAGCAGCGTGCGCGGTTACAGCGATATCGCGCAGCCTAGAGTATTTCTTAGTATATTCACTTGAATAACCCGCGTATGTCTTACAATAGTTATTACAAAAAACATAAAAAAGAATTCATGTCCTCGCATAATTTTTCACAGCGTTAAACATTTTGGCATTTAAATCTAAACGGTGATCAAATAAAAAGGACTACACGCCAAAAATACTGTTAAGCAAATAGCTCCTAACAGTCGTACAGGTTCTTGACAATTTATCGTTGCCTATTAAACGGTTTTATTCCAGTTTTTTTCAGCTAAATTAAGCAATAAAGTACAGACGTCTAACACAGTATCGTGTACCATCAGAAGATTACGTTATAAATCACTTGGCTTAATGGATCGGCTTAGATAACTTAACTATGTACTTGGATATATATTTTTTGTCTGTCGCTACTGTCTTTTGGGAATTGAATATTTAGTTTAGCTTATTTGATTCTGTTTTGTATCCTAATTGGTCTTCGGGATTTAGTTTGTGATGATGTAGTAGTTGGTGATTTGAATATTAAAAATCGAAGACGTAGCCGTCACTTGTTTCATTGGTAGGAGTAGTTATCAAACTAATTTGGTTTTTGACTAGTTTTCACCTACCATTGTACTATTTTTAAAACTAACCGCTGCAGTCGATCGGTGCTTTCATCGCCATCGCGCCGACCTATATGAAATCCGTAGATGCCTAACACACTTTACATCGCTCGACTGCGCAGTTGAGCGGTGTCCTCACCGCTACCGCCCCTCCGCACTGCCGCCCTCCACAGCGATACCTGGTGCCATGTGCTAATCGCCTAAGATACTTACAAAAAGAAATGCAACAAAGCACTACAGCATACATCACTATCCTCTATAACTTATGTATGATTTTCTATTGTGCCTTATCTCCAACTCCAAAGTATAGTACTAAGAACTACTACTAAATGAATACTTCTATGTGTGAGTCTCAAACTCATTATTAAACCTCAACCAAGTCACTAACCAGCAAAAGTCGAAGCACCAGAAACTAGCTAAATACCAGTTTTTGATGACATTGTACTGTAAACGTACAATATAGTCTCGTATAATCTTCAATATGAGACCAGGTCTTGTAAAATACAAAATGAATGGGCGCTATGAAACATTTGGTGCAGAGAATATGAAGCTAATATTCTCAAAATATAGGGTTTAACATAGAAATTTACGTGCAGCGCTGAAACTGCTTTAGAATTAATTTCTAAAACTATCATAACATGTGCTTATGTTAAAGTTATTTCCAGGATTTTGTGGTAAATCATGGAAGTTTGAATTGGTTGGCTGCTTTGTAGATTGAGTTATTATTAATGATTAAGCACGAAGTTTGGGGTTTTTTATGACTTTCCGTATTGTATCTAATAATTTGACTGCACGGTTCGTGCGGTAGCTTGACAACCGGCTGCCGCGCAACGAGTCGTGGGGTTCGTTTCCCGCACGGAACAACTCTTTGTGTTGATCCACAGATTGTTGTTCTGGGACTGGATGTCATGTGTATGTGAACTTAACGAACTTGTATGTTTGTAAACGCACCCACGATACAGGAGAAAATCGTAGTGAAGGGCAAAGTTTAAAAAAACAAATGATATCCCTTACCGTAAACGGAAAAATCTTTTGCTCAGTAATAGAAAAGTTATAGCTGATGTTGACAATTATTTCTGTATTAAAAACAGTACATTTTGCTTTCGAAGCGCTAAAAAAGAAAAATAGTTTAGAATAGTATTATTTACTCATTGAAACTGGCTCTTTTTTAATCACAGTAGTACTAATAAAATAACTGACCAAGAGTAGATATAGATACTATTAGACGTGAACACAGTTAAACTTTTTGAAAAATATTTGAATAGCATAAAATTATATAACCTACACAGAGATTGTAAAATTTATTCTGTCGCCCATTACGTCGAGTTTAGGTCCTCAGTTAGATATCGCTGTCAGCGATAAGACTGTACGTACAAACGTTCATCTCGCTCATGTCCTTTATACAAGTTATGTCATAATTTTGGGGTACAATAAAATATATATTGTTACTACGTTTATTACTGGTTTACTATGTTTAGCTCACGGTTTTGCTTATTACTTTATTTTCGCCCGAGTACTAAAAGGCTACTCAATGTTAAGTTGTACTTGAGTATCGTGCCGTCTCTGTCATTTTACAAATAATTTGTAGGGACAGAAGTATATTTAAGCGTGACTTAAACTTAAAATTAAAAGCGTAGATAACTACGCTGAAACACTTTTGTCTTGTAAATAACTTAGTTTTTTTTAAGTAATAAAGTAAACAATATTCCCGGGTCGGACAAAGTATTACTGAGTCTCAGTCAGAGAAAAAAAATCTCAGTATTTTCACGGAGTATGGCAATAGGCTCAACCCCTATTACATGGGACTTATAACATAAATAGTGAATAGTAGGTGCTTACATTGTACAGTGATATGAAGTACCGTAATGTGCATTTCAGCCAACCCCTTCAGGAATAAAAAAGGCGTGATATTATGTTATGCGAGTGTTTAAAAAAGGAATCACCATTTCATGAACCCAATAAAATCATTACCTACATTTTGTTTTGTGTGCGAATTGAAACCACAACACAATAGTTAAGCCACTACGCCAATCACCCACTCTGTTGAAAACAATTCGAATGGAAATGACTGATAAAATATTAATTTAGATCGAAAATTTATTCATTTGTTATCACAAAACTTCGCATTTTACGGATGACTTATAAAAGTGAATTTGATAATATAATAATTCCATGAAAACATATTATGTTTGGGTTAACGATTTCATTTTGATTAAGTTGAAATGAATTCAAATAATATTTATTTGATAGTTTCGTTTTCGCAATAGTTTTGAATTATTAAATCGTTTGGTTAGTTTTATAAAAGAATGGTTTTAAACTTTTCAATTGCCAATTCAATTGGAATTAGGTTACCATTAATAAAAGTAAAGGATACATGGGTATTGGATTAAATATAAAACATTCTAAGTCTAACTCTGTTCGGAAAACGACTGGAGTATTTTGATTGCATCTATAACCCTAGTATATCTGTATAAGGTTTGCCATTATCTGACAAATTACTGTGGAAGGAAATATCGTGAGAATTTTTTTTAAGCTGGGAATGTCATCGAATGACTTCTCCCGCCCAGATGAGGCGCGAGTTAGTGTCTTACTGACTAAACACCACCCCGTTCCTACTTCTACACTTCGAGCCGGAGCCCCGGCAACCTATTACATTTTTCGTGGCACCGTATCGGCATTAGCCGTATTGGACCCCATCTGTGGTGGTATGATGAATTTTTGAGGCGCGCATGGTAAGTGACGCATCGTACGCTCGGGTCTATTGTGAGAAAACTTGGACTTATAATTTCTATCATTATAAGTTTAAATCGCCGACGTGCGTTGAGCAAACGTGGTGATTAATGTTCAAAGCTCCAAAGGCCAAAGGGTCAACAGTGGCTACCTAAAGGCTCGACAGACGGGTAGGTGGTTGCAGTTCAAAAAGTTAAGATTTATAAGAGAGCACCACTGTCCACACTTTGTCAAAATGTGTAGTCTAAATATGTAGTCAACTCATACGAGACCAATATTTTCAAATATAAATAAAACGAATCACCTGTCAGAAGTAAATGACATTACCTTCGTTACAATTTTATAAAACAAAATACAATCACAGACCAATTTGCTCTTTTATATTTCTTCAGAAAATATTCTAGACGTTTACTATTTTTTTCTTCTAGAATAACAAATGACGGATTTGAAAAAACGACAAGAAATAAATGTGAAAAATAAATTTTATTTTTATCACGATTCAAATTTTTATTCAAAATCGTCTTTTGCAAATCACATCGAATTTTGTAATGTAAAATTAAACTGTCAAATACCAAGCGGTCACCGGTGACCGCAACCTATTGTTCTATAATTGTGTCTGCAAAACCGGTACTCGACGAGTTAATGGTAATCAGTTGAATGGATTTGGAATAGAATGATTTTACATTTTGTAGTAATTATATTGCATCTAAGTCGAAGACATTTAAATCGTTTTGAAGTCCAAAAGAATAATGATATTCGCGTGTTAAAAAGATAGTCAAAACACTTTTCAGACTCCTTTTTTTACTAATTTTTAAGTCGAATTGAATTAAACTAGAACATAAATAAAATTAAAACTAAATATTACTAAATTAAATATATACAACTTATGATTAAAATTAATTATAGGAAAAATAAACTATTTATAAGGCATCGAAAAACTCGTCCGCATCGACGTCAGTGGGGAAAGTACCCAGAAGGCTGGCAGCATTGCCACGTTGTATGGCAATGCTTAACCTCTGACCGAGAAAAAGACCAGCCCTCTGGTCACGAGATGTGTCGACCAGGCGTTTCGAAATGTTTTTGAACAATTTAAGCGCACTCGGACCCCACGGACCTAACGTTTCAACCCCAAACGGCTCAAAGATATAACTACCAGCAAGGTTAATATACTTACGCCGCTTGAGGTTTTCTGCAGAGGCAGCAGCCGAACCAGCACAACTCGCCGTTACTGGAAGAGAATTAAAGAATTAAACTAGAATAACATTACCAAAACTCCAGAAAAGGACTCGAAATACCCAAGACACAACAAAACATTTATTTAAAACGACATCTTTATTTCGGTGAATGTGACAATAACAGTAAATTATGAATAACCAATTAATTAACAAAAATCTCTTTTTGTTACAGAACAACGATGACCTAAAAGGAACGAACGGAAAACTTCAACAAACAATGAATAAATGAAAACGATCGAAGATGCGCAATGAAACTTCGATTCATAAGTTTCAAGAGGTGACGGTGAAGAAGAAGATGTTTGAAAACATTTCGAAGAAATGTCTTATGTTAAAGAGTTTATAAATTCTATATAATAATGTGCAGATATAAAGAGACATTGAAATACACCGCGTGTAAGGTTGGCGGTCGGATTGTCAGTGAAACGGAGATAGAACGAGCGAGATAAAGGTAAGGATGATAAATGTTCTACTGGAAGGAAGATTATAATGTGTACTGTAATAGTTTATGAATTACCTCTACAGAACAGTAATTGTGTATGAATTTGAAATGATAGTGTTTAATTTGTTGTCTAATGTGTTAGATCCGAACACACACATACACAAAGAAACTTCGTTTCCAAGTGTATTCTATTGAATCCGCAAATTGTATACTGATATTTGACAGTAACTAAGTAAATAGGTTAATATCATTAGCTAGGCACAAGAAAGGAGTAATAAGCCAGGACCAAAAAACAGCACAACAACACAACAACCCTTTTTATATAGGAACAA